ATAACATTCTACCAATTGCAGTTATAAAATACCACCAGTGATTTACAAACTAAACTTAAGGATGAGAGAGAAATTGTTTATATTTATTTTAGATTTTTAATTTATTAAAATAAAAGACAATAAAAAAAAAAACCGATTTTTCCCGATTATCAGTTTTGTAGTGAAAAAAAACATCTCAAAATGTCCTCAACGCGGCTAAAGCAGTGGTGAAGTGTCAAAGCGAGTGCCAGGGGGCGAGTGTCCCTAACACAGCCCATTGGGAAAAGGGGAGGAAAAATGGAGGAAGAAGGGCTTTGGGGAATTTCAAATATTTAATTGGTTTTTTTACTAAATAAAATAACTAATTTATATGAGTGGGTTTATTATTTTATATCGTGAACATATTATATGCTTAATAATACGTCAATAAACATTTTTTTAGTGAGTTTTTCTATTATTTTAATTTATTATTAATAAAATAAATATATAATATTATAAATTTAAATAAAATAAAAATTAATTTTTAAATAATATATAAAATTAGATAAAAATTATTTAAAAGATTATATCTTAATAATTTTTCATATTTAAATTATTTAAGTTTTTGTTATTTTGGGCTTGTAAAATTCTACAACAGGACAATACTCATGATTCAGTTACTGAATTCAAAGGAATTCTTGGTTATTGTACCTCATAGTTTTTTCTGAGAAATCATTTCATAATTTACAAATGTAATGTGTATAGTTTTGAAATGATATTGTTTGAGATAGTTGGAAAAAGGAAAAACAAGGTTAGCAGTTCCTCTGAAAGCCTTGATTGATTTCCAAACGTTGTGTTGGATAAGTATCAGAAGGTGAATTGGTTGAGCTGATAAAAAGTTATGGGATTAAAAAAGAGGATATGGAAAAAGCAGAGAGAATGTCAGTCGTGGCATTGTGGTGTGTTCAAGACTCGTCAAGAGCTAGGCCACCAATGAGTGCTGTAGTGAAGATGCTCGAAGGAGGAGTGGAGATCATACCACCTCCTAAACCCACTCATTTACTGTTCTCATCGTTGGGGGACAAGTGCAGTCAAGCCACCAAATGCTGGCACTGGTTCAAGTCCCTTCTCGAGTGAAGAATCCACTTCTTATTGGTATAAAGAGACCACTTCAATCATGGCCAAGTATGAAATGCAAGTGGCTAGTAGTTAACAAGACTAAAATGCAGTTTCATACTTTGGTTGGCATATCCACCGGGACCACCCCTGAACTTGCAAATAGGCGCAAATCTCCCCCAAAGTGATAGAAATTGTTAGTCTATGTTGGTCAATGTATAGTTTATTTGACGTGCATGGTATGATAGGCGGACTGACGTTAGTCAATGATGTTTATCAACTTAAAAATTATATTTTATTTATTTTTAGTCAATTTAATTTATGTTTTTTTATTTTTAAAGTGTAAATTTTAAATAAAAATTTAACAATTTATATGAATAATAATT